TTGGCCAGATTGAAACACCAGAGCCTCCCGGTTATTCTCATTCCTGTCTGATCTATGTCTCCGCCAATCTTCATAGCCGTCTTTGATAGCTGTGACCAAGAGCACAAACAGAAGGGGAAAAAGAGACACTGTTCTTCCAAAGACTGCAAGAGGTGGAAGCTGGTTGAGGGCAGCAATTGCTAGAAAATACAAATAAGCAACCCGATGAAACTGAATGAAAAGATTCTTGGGCAAGAAGGTAATGATGGTGTACTTGCTAGTTCGAATCTCATTCCCAGTGAACTCATACTTGTCATTTGTCCTCTTCGGATCGTTAATATAGATCAACCTTGGATTGTCATCGTGCGGCAAGTTATCATCGAACTGCACAATTTTGTGACGGATCCTCTGAGACAACTTTTCCTGAACCCTAGATGAACCCTGGGAGATTTCAAGAGTTCCTGAATTTCTATTTTCATTATGCAGTTCCATGGTACCCCACGACACCAGGCGTCTTCTATCCCGCGTGGGGTTTTCCAAAGGAGACTGCGGCAAAAACCGAGAACTGGGTGGACCTGCAGGAGTAGTAAAATTCTCTAAGGGTCTCTCAGAGCAACCAGAAACAGCAACCTCGTCCTTCACTTCAAATAAATCACTTTGAGCATCGTCACTGTTGTCAAGACTGGAAGATGAAAATGAAGCATTGGAGCAGATACGGACAAGGTTCTTAGTGAGAGAAGGGGAGGGAACCAGCGACGCTGATGGAGAATCAGATGAAGACAGCAAGGGCTGCTCAGAATTCATCCATAATTCTCCAATGTGATCATTGGAGAATTACATATACACTTCACCCCAATTCTAACGACCATGAACAAACACAGCCAATAAATCCAGAAATCCCATTTCCCAAATCCAGCTACAGGCAAACACCAAATCAACCCGAAGAATTCAAGCACCACTTAATCAAAAACCAAGAATACATAAATACCTCTGACCCCAAAACTAATGGTGGGTTTGCAATGTTTTCAAATTCCACACACTATAATGTGAGATTGAAGCTCCTGCAAACCGAATAAAAAACGATAATGTAGCTCAGTGATATCAACTAAAGCACGCATTGCATTACAAATACACTTCAGAAGTTCAGAAATGCAGGGATGTAACAAAAAACAAAAAGAAGAAAAATTGCATTCAGATCAGAAACAGACCACCCTTCGATCGCCGGGAGGGAGAACCAAGAGGCCCACAGAAAAACCAAATAGCTCAAATAGCAACAGACTTCCACAGATCCCCAAGAAAGCAATGCCAAAGCTAAAAACAAAAACAAAGACGGATAAGATAACACAGTTGATGAACAATCTGAATCACTGCCCCCACAACCCTTTTAAATCCCGAAAATCAAAACCCAAATCAGAGAAATACCCAGAATTCCCAATCGACTCAGAAACCACATACACCAAAATGTGTCAAGAAATTCTGCAATATTCTCGTACCGAAAAAACAGAAAATTGAAAACCCAAAAATAAAAATTACCCAGAAAAGCGACGTACCTCTGAATTCGAATACAGACAAAAGACGGGAGCTTTATCGTCTCGGAATTGGCGAAACGAGAAGACTGAGTGAGCGAGCAGGAGTTTCAGATGTCATTCAATGCACTGAATACGAAATGTCACAGCGTAAACACGAAAAGGGGAAATTGGCAGGTGTCAAAGCAGATTAGGCAATGATCTCACCCTCAGTTTTTTTCTTTTTTTTCTCCAATTATTTTTTTCAAGAAATTCTCTTGGACCGGATCGGCAAAAGAAAAAACTCAGGGTTCGATGAGAAAACGAGATTTAGGAGAGTGATTCAGTTTTGTTTGGGGTGTATCGGGATGAGGAGGAGCGAGACGACGGGGGGTTTTTGGGACGTGTCGAATTGGAGCGAAGGAGGAGTTGGTAGGTGGGCGGCATGAAAATGGCGAGAATATCGCAGGCGGAGGAGAGAGAAAGAATGAGGGAGGGAAGAGAGAGAGATGAGCGGTAAAGCACGAATCTTGGGGCGTTACACGGTCACTACTGACGGACTCTTCCTTCCCCGTCTTGTCGAATCTGTACCTGAGCTTTTCGCCAGCCAACGTTCTGTTTAATTGGGCTCGCTTTATTTATTATTGTTTTTATTATATGGTAATTACTTGGGGGCATTATCGTCAAATTGTGGTTCATTTGATTTTAGCTGTAGCCCCCCTAGTAGTATACTTATTTCATCAAAGTGGTTTCGGCTGTAGTAATTTTTACACTTTCGTTTTTTTTTTTTTTTGAATTTTAACGAAATATTTCTGATACTGTTCACTTTTAACGAAAAATCATATTTTTACCTTTTTTCTGATACTATTCATTATACCTTTATTTGTCATTTTTCATTAAAACTAAAGTTTTTTAAACTTTTCGTTAGTTTTCCTCTTTTTTTAGCCTGCTCTGTTTGCGCAACTTTGATCTCTCGCACACAAAAGTCTTTAGTGCAACTGATGCACGAGGGACAACAAACTTCGTGGGTAAGGCCACATGTTAATAGATGTGACATGTTAGTGTGCCGAGAACACGACCTTATACATCAAGAGTCATAATACAAGTGGTTGGATACTTAAAAAACATCAATTGCTTATATCATGACACTTGATGTATCGAACCGTATTTTCGACACTTATACTCATTGGACACATATTTTGCCCCTTAAATCTAGTAAATTTGTAATTACCTTTCTTGTAAAAGAATATATCTTAAAAAGGATTATGCCAACTGATAAGATTGAGACCTAAACCTGATTAATGCACTTAATCTTAGGTGTTAAGCATAATCCAATGACTCATTCTATTTCCTCAATTGCAATTTTCCTAAATCTGTGTCGGATTTTATGCAAGATATAATAATTTCTCCATAAGTAAAGGTGTATTTTCTTGATCATGATTCACCTCCCTATTCCCTACCAAAGGAAGAAAGCAAGTTAAGCAACAAACACACTCAACCGAAAGATAAGACAATGTTGGTTGATCTATCTAATTTTCTGTATCATACTTTACTTCAAGCACACCTTGTTATAATTTTCATCATTTTCTTTTTTAAAAAAAATCAAGCAATAGTAATATTATTTAGTGGTTGTGGGCGAATTGCAACCGCGTATTTTAAGTTATGAGTTCGTTTGTTAGCGTTGGCGAATAACACAATAATGGTAAAAAAGAAACTAAAATCCCTTTGTGAGTCTTCCCAACACCTAATGGAATTTTTTCTCCTATGGTTGCTAATAAATATGGAATAAGAATATTGTCGTTTTGTGTTATTCAATTCTTAAAAACTAAGAAAATGGACTGACGTCCAAGGAAAAATTAAATTCATACTCATTCTTTACTCTTCTCATTTACGGGTAAAATGTTTGTGCCCAGGTTTATATATTGCTATACACGTCTGGTTCATGTCAACCTGCATGTTGAGCAACACACAAAACGACAAAAAAAATAATCCAGTATCACAAGTTATTCATTAGTAATATTAGCATTTTATCGAGGTAATATTTTGGCTGAGCAATCTATTATATAAACAAAATTAAGTTGAACAATTTTAATCGTGTACACATTTCGAGTTTTGTAATCGTTGCCTTTTATGTCATGCGTTTTCTTTTCATTTGGAATATGCGTAGTAACCTTGAGAAATACTACACAGATGTTCCCAAAAACAAAAAAATACTTTTAAAGTGAGACTCTCTTTATGAATTCTCTATTACCTCACTATTTCACATTAATTATCATATCAATAATATAAAACTTCATGTCACAAAATAAAATAACAAAAAATTTATGAATTATACTTTTAAAAGAAATCCCTTTAACATTTGTTTCGTAACCTTTCCGTCGTGGTTTCAGCAGTTTCATGAGTTTGTGGGCGCCGAACCCACTGACGTAGGTACGACGGTGGTACGTATGGACGACTGCGTTTTGCTTCCAGATGTATCCCAACCCCTTAACCTTTGGATTGCGCGAGGAGTAATCGACTGGAACTCGGACCACTCTGTCTGTTTGTCCCTCTCGCGGTACGGTCTGGACTTCTGTTCCAAATATACCCCTAACCCGTCGGACACACAATGACGTGTAAAGCCTGTGTGACTTTTCAGTCGTTGATGCGTTGATGGGTTGATCATCTGCTCAATGAGTCAAATCGTGCGGCTGAGATTGTCCTGCAGACATAATTGTTGCGTGGGATTCCCGTTCAATCCCACTTGTGTCAGGCACCGACATACATGTGTAGTGGTACTTACCTTCAAATTTAAGGACGACGTTTCCCCGAGCAAATGTTTGCTGCTTTTGGTCTTGTCGTTTTGGAGAAGAAGAGACGTGGTTCCCATAATACCCTTGTCAAGTTGTACCAACAAGACGAGAAACCAATGTTGAAACTACGCAACGTGCCTGCCCACATTAATTTTGTTTGGTTGTACAAGTGACGCTAATTACCTTTTTTTAGTATCGGGTTTTTCTTTCCCTTGTACTTCCGGCTTTGTTTCTTGGTTGCATGCCTCAGTGTCGGCTTTCATTGTAATCTTGGTCTCTTGCCTTGGTTAATATATCCAGCTTTTCAAAAAAAAACAAAAAACAAAAAACTATGCAATGTGCCTAACAATCCTACTTTGAAGCGACATTCATACTCTCAATACATCGTTTAATATGTGGTGTCACTTGAGTTTAACATGTGACCAATAATGTAAATTTGAAGAGAAAATTTTGGATAGCTAGGCATAATTATCTAAACTTAAATAAGGCAGTTTGACTAGTCATACCGCTTTCACAAAAAAATGGCACTTGTATGTTCGAAGTTGTCTAATTCCAATGTGAAAGTGGCCAACTATCCAATTAGTTCAAATGTTATACTAAGGTTTTTATTCTAATTGAGATGTCATGTATTTCGTTTAAAACATTTAAACAAATTAGTTAGAAGCAGTTGGATAACTATTTCGTTTTCAATGAAAACTCGTATTGTAATTACTAAACGAGAACATGAAACATAATGAGATATTATATTATTCTCTTTCTCAAAATCTTTTCAAATGCCACTACAACTTGAGGAAAATCATATAAACTTCACAGAGCAAAAATCTTGAAAAATATCACTTTTCATTTTCCTCTGTAACATTTCGGAATTGGAAGCAGCACAACTCTCCCGCTTCTGCGGTGAGTTTTCATCCACAGATTCCTCCATATCCTCCTCCGCTTCCACCTCCACTCCCTGATCAACAAAATAATCAAAATAAATTAAACAAAAAACACAATTAATTTCAAATCTGATCGAAGATTAAGGAAAATGGAGATTGTGATTCACCTGCGATGGCGATTCATCGGCCTTCTTTTCTTCCTCCTTCTCCCTGAGCGATCGAATCGGCGATACTCTCTGCTCCAAAACACTCAAAGCTAAATAAAAATTAAGGAACATAAAAGGGAATGAAAAGCATTTGAAGTTAAATCGGAGCTTACAATTGATTGAACATGGAGTTGGTTCAATCGGTAAATCCGATCGAGCTCGATCTCGAGCATCTTCTGAATCTGCCCTCTGTTTTCGAGCTCCTTCATCTGTATTTCCATCACCATATCCTTCTCCTTAAGCATCTTCTCCGTCTTCTCTCTGTCCGATTTCATCCTCTCCGTCTTCTTCCGGATCGCGCTCAGCTCCTCCGCCAGCGACACTTCCATCGCCTCAATCTTCACCGGAGTCGCATACATTGGAGGGTTCTCCTTATTTGAATCATCGACAACGCCAATCCATTGGTGAACCGGCTTGATTTTGAGATCGGAGTTCGTCGGAGTCACCGGAGTGTTCTTCGGCTGGAGCGGCGTCCGGCCACTTTTAGGCCGAACAATCTGGTTCCCGGCGATTCCGGCGACGGAAGATTGAAGCGTGTGCATTGCTTTGGTGGATGTGTGAAAGATGCTATGGCAGTTCAGGTTGTTATATTTGAGAGAGAGAAAAAAGGGAATTGTAGAGAGAGAGAGAGAGAGAGTTTGTTTGAATTTGAAAGTGGGGAGGCGTTAGGTGCTAACGGCTACATTTTTAATTTGCGTTCAGAAGGTTTATATATAAATAAGCTCCAGATTACGCTGATTAATTTATTATTTTATCAGGATATGATTGCGTGGCAATCAATTACGAGACACGCTCATGGCGGGACCCGCACGCTCATTGGGTCCTACCACATAACGACGCGTAATTATATAGAAGGCGGTAAAATTAACTGTTTCAACAGTAATATGGATATGGCCCATACGGAGGGTAATTTTGTCATCAGAAGAAATAGAGGAGTTTGCAGAGTAATAATCAGCCCTACGATTTCTCCATCCATGTCGCGGATTTCAAGAGTAATAATCACAGTTTGACTGGTCCGATAAATTTTCGGTGCAATAGAGAAGTACACTACATGTCATTATGCAATTAGAGTGAAATTTTTTTGTTTTCAAATGTCATTTCAATTATATAATAACATGCGATGTACTACTCCATGTTCTAGACACATTAAAAAATCTCTCTAATTGTTCAATCTGTAAATTGCTAAAGTTGATTATTTTAAATGATCAATTTAACCACTTGGTACTACAGTCTAATGATATTCATCTTCACTAGTAAATGATAAGTCTTAAGTTCGATTCTCGCTAAAGATGAATTTTAACCGTATTATTGTGAGGCTAAACACATCTCTTTAAATAACATCGATTGTTAAAAAAAAAATGATCAGTTTGAATTTCTACTAATCAGTTGATCACAAGGAAGATAAGTGGTTGGTTTTGTAGGGTCGTCCAATAACAAAGCGGTCGGGACTGTAGGACCGTTCAATAAGAAAGTTGTCACAAGTGGAGCTGAATTAACCAAATACAGGGAGGTTATGTAAGAGAGAGGAGGGCCAAGGGAGGAAGCATATTTCTCCGTTAAGTAAGCTATTTCTACTTGTAGACAAATCATTATTTGACATGCGTATGCTCCTCTTTTTATATTTCTAATAAGATATGTATACGTGTTAGACTGTGATTTTCAGATAAATTGTGTTTGAATCGAAATATGAACATGTACAAAGCCTATGATGACTAAAACAGCATGATTCCAACATTTTATGTTGAAATCTACTCACAAGGTTCTTTAGGTTGATATCTACAAGAAGTCAACAAAACGCTATGAGGATCAGAAGTAATCCAGTGGAAGGTCCCAATCATCATTGCCATCGGTCTTGCTTTTCCTGGAATTGAACTTCTGGTCACCAAAATTTCTTCTTCTTGTATACTTATCCGATCTTACGGGTCTTTCAATGTCGGAATATTCGTCGAGATCATCTACAGAGCTTGCAATATTTTGGCCGTCCAAGATACCCTGTTTTTTTACATATGGTCACATAAATCCCAACGTCAGTTTCTGTTAATTTACATGCAAACAATCTCACTGGACTAGATCCGTTCATGATTTCCTCAGAAGCCTCAATTACTGACATAGGGCCGTCGAATGGGCCAAACGGCACAATTATAGAACAAAAGTAAATGGAAACCAGAGTGCAGTAAAAAATAAATTTCAATGGTTGAACATGTCTATGCCCAAGAAAATGAGTTAAAACATCTAACATGAACGAGTGATACTCAAAAGTTAGTCGCAAGCATATTATGGCGGTAAGTAAACTGTCATATGCAGGCATAAAACTTGGTAGCAAATAAAGCAAACTACAAATCAAGACTAGAGTTTTATTGTGCAGAAAAGAAGTACCTTGGTCAGCCTGTGTATGCGCGAAGCTGCAACTTCATGCACAATGACGGCATCAGACACAACTTCCAGAACATCCTCAACAAACAGCGCATAGGTACTCACCTAAAATTAGCTGGAATTAAGCTTTGCAAGTAGAACAGTTCATAAAAAACCCCTAGACATGCAAGCCAATCTAGTTCAAATGGTAGGAACTTTTCAAATATTTAGCCTTTGTTTCATTAATCCATAAGATTTCATTTCACCTACCAAACTTGATGGAATATAGGAAATCCCAAATGAATCAAGTTCAAGGGATTCGACAGCCCCTGAATTGATGTTAAAACTGTATCCCCGCACCTAGAAATGCCGCATAAAACAAGTTAGATGGTTGAGGAATCAGGAAATAGTATGAAGACATTAGTGCAATATAGAGTACCACCTTTCCAATTGTTCGTCGACCTGGTGTTACAACTTGGTATCCTACCTAGCAAATCACAACTTAAGAACTCAAATTGTAAAACATTGATACTAAAAGATATTGAACAAGGTACATGATGCACCCAACACCTACATATAATGATCAAATTAGCATTTGATAAGATAAGTTATCACTGAACACATTTACTTGAGCTTTACTGATGCAGAAAACTAAACTAACCATGCAGAAAACAAACACAGAAATAAACTCCATTTGGAAAGAAAGGGACAAGAGTGGACGCTCTTATCAAGCATATACATATATGTCACAGGGAGACGGAACATACCAACGTTTCCAGTCCAACAATCTTAAATTCATCATCATCAATCACACTCTCGTCCTCGACAAGCACAACATCACCAACCTGCAAAGAACAATAAATTGAATACCTTTTCCATAAGAGAAGAATGTTCATAGAGTACAGGCATGAAATATATAGGTGCCCCAAGCAAAATGTACCTGGGTAATATCGTCGAGAAGAAAACGTTCAAACTCTCCCGAAAGCAAGTTTCGCCTCACTTCTACAAACTTTACCATCCACTGCGAAAAGAAGAAAATAGTTCTAAGTTCAACTGACAAACTGGAAACAAAATGATCAAAGGATAGGAACTTTTTATCATAGCATACGAAAATCGAAAGTTTGATAACTTACTGAATTGGTATTCACCCAAAGCTGAGAGACAAATCCCAAGCTGAGGGCACTTTGAATACTGATAACTTGCTTTGCAAGAATATTGGACCTCCTCATTACCTGCCTCCCTTTTCTTAGTTCAACTTTTTCATCAATGTGCTTCAAATTCTCCTCCTTCTCCAACCGATCACCGTCCGCACCCGCCATTCGGACCCGATTCTCCTCTTTTACGCTCCCATTACTCTTTCGATTTCGGTTCTCCTCCTCCGAACCGCCCTCCGATTCCAGAAAATTTTCTGAACCCAATGAAGCATTGGATTCCTCACTGAGATCAATCCCATGTCGCGTTACTGACTCAATTGCCTCACCTTCGAGGTTGAAGAGGTTCTCCCCTTGCTCCTTAAACCCTAAATCGGCCGGAATCCCGCAATCAGCTATCGGATTCTCGCTGGCCCTTCTGCTGAGGAACAAAGACCTCCCATTTCTGGAGTTTGCGAGTTCTGAATTCGTGAAATTGGATGGTTTCGAGCAATTTGGCGGGTAAAAGTAAGGATGCAGTTGGATACAGGAGCTCCAATTGGTTCTGGTAAACCCTAATTTTGGAGATTTTGTGAGAGGAAAGGATAGGGGGATGGAGGGAAGACGGTCGCACATGGTTAACTCAAAAACATTCGACTGCAATGGAAGTAGTTGGTATTGAGGTGTGTGTGAGTGAATACGATGTCGCTTTGTAGGTGTAAGGAAACGCCAAGTCGTTTTTTGTGCTCTTCACTTCTTTTTTCTTCACTTATTTATAGACTAAAACACTTTAATCCAACCACTTCTAAGATCTAATATAATTACATCTAACTATAAAATATAAAAAAAAATATAATCGTCCAAATTTAAATCCAACGGATAAAAATAATTAAAAATTTTCTTTCAGGCGTTTCATATTCTTTTGTAGTGTTCCACGAGTTTCATAGTGTTAGTTTAGTGATTTTTTAATATTTATCAAAGTCTAAATATTTTTATGTTAGCCTACGTAATTTTTTTTCTATATAGTTACTATAAGAAAAAATTATCTTAAATTCATTCCTTAACGATACCAGGCTAAAAGTTTAATTCAAAAGGGTTGGAGTAGAAAAACTATTTTGGATTAAAACCGAAATTTTTTAGATAAAACAAAGAAAAAAAATAGCAAAAACTTGTCTTTGTGAAATTATTTTAATGCTCATATTTTTTTTCCTTTCTCTTTTCTAATACTCTCTCATTTATGCATAAAAGGATATAATAATACTTTCCTAATTTTTTTTTCTGATAAAAAGGATTCTGTTCTATTAATATGTCAACACAAATATAAAATAAAATCCCTATTTATTTCTCATTATTAACAAAATTATTTTTCTTAATAACTAGCATTTACCTACACATTTTGTGTGTATGAATACATTTTTTTGAAAATGAGAAAGAGAAAGGGAGGAAGAGAGAGAGAACGTGGGGGGAAATAGGAGGTTTTTGTTTCTGGTTTTTTTTTTAAAATATTAGAGGTATTTTAACATCACCTGTAGGTGAGGTTTAAATAAAAAATAGTAAAATTTGGATCTGTAAAATTACATTATTGCCCTCATTTTTTTATGTGATAGAAAACTAAGTAGTATTTTTATCATTTTTTTATTGATAAAAAGAATTTCATTAATTAGTAAAGATTATCTTAATTTTTCTTTGATCTTCTTTAATACATCTGATCGATCAATTAAAAATTAAAAAAATGTAATAAGTACAAAAGAGTACGTGGATATCCGAAACAACCAAAACCAATCGTAGACGCATGGTCAAAGCACGCATCCGAACCCACCAACCAATCGGAGAAAAGCATATTCCCATCCAGTTCCAGCACACCTTTAAAAAAGCAGAATCGCTACAACTTGGCAGCTCGTCCGCCGACCAATCCCCACCCGCCACGTCTCCATCGTCCAAATTCCAAGAACCGAAAAAAATTGGAAGGCTGGAAAATATAAGCGGCAACGCGCCCCCTACGCTCCAGGATTCGTGAAATCAGACGTTTCCAAAAAACCTCCATTGTTTTTGTTCTCCTCTCTCTCGTGCTTCGTCTGCACCCTTCCCAAGGTAAGCAAATCCAAACCCTTTTGGGATTTTCGTTGTGCTTGGATTTCCGTTTTCTGTTTGGTTTCCGAGAAACGGTAGGAAAGTAACAGAAAGTTTGAGTTTTTTAGCCTGAAACAACAACAACGTGTTTTTAGATCTAAAGTTTCGTTTTTTCGGATTTGTTTGTGTAATTGCGCTGAGCTGTTTTGAGATCTGGTAATTGTTGGGATTAATTGCTTTGCTTTTGTTCTTGCCATGGTGGATTACACAATCTTAGCTTGAAATCTGAAAACTTTTGGATTCCTTGATTCAATTTCGACTTCCCAGTTTGGAATTTCTGCGATTTCGAATTCTGGGTTGTTTTTATTGTGATGCATTTTGCTTTATGCATTAATTTTTGGTTCGTATTTTGTAATTCTTATCATATTAATATTGGTTCTGATTGTGTGTTTGAATGCACCAAATTGTATATCGAATGATTCGAATTCAACATGAACTTTTTGACAAATCAAGTAAAGTGTTTGGGATTCCTCGATTTGTTTTTGAGTCGAAATTTGGGTTATGGAGGGAACTTAATTTTGGAGGGAACAAATAGTTAATGATGTTCTTGGGATAATATGGGAATTTTCAATAAGTTTTGGATTGAAATTAAACATCAACAATAAAGTGCCATTAACCAAATTTTTGATCTTGAAACTGGAACAAGAGCTTTGTTTGACCTGATTTATGTTATAGAGCAGGTCAAACTAAAGCCATATTTGACTTTTGGATTCTTGTATAAATTTTTCTATATAGTTTTGTTGTGAAGATTGTGCTATCATGCTAGAGACGCCTCTTTGTTTTCGAGTTGTTTTTGGTCTCGCAGTACAAAGTTACTAACGAACTTTTTTCTTCCTTGTGTTTGGTGTTTGAACTCAAATTTGACAGCCTGATCTTCATGAATTCAAGAACTGCTGAAGCATCCGTGTTTTCCTGTAAATCGGGAAACAAGAATAACCTCTTCTTTGTCTGGATTTTGTTCTGTCTATTGCCAAAGTTCCTAGGAACCCCTTTGCAATCGTGAACTTGGCAATTGACAGGATTCCATCTAGAGCACTGGCCGTTGAGACTTTTGGATAGGTAAAATCGATAGCAGGGATCAATTTAAGGGTGTCTCTCTGAAGTTAGCATCCCTGCTCTCTACTTGAAAACATGGTTTCCTCTCAGCTACCTGGTTTGACCAAGGCCCACATGTGCAAACCAATTCAGACCCAGTTGCTTTTCCCCATGGAAACAGTGGATGGTGCAGGTTTCAGATCACCTCGAGCTTGATTTTGATGATGTATTTGGCCCTCTACCAGTTCAGACCTCAGTAGAAGTGAATTTGGCTAATTCTGCCTCGACTGAAGATGCTACTGAGCTTATTTATGACGATCCAGTGGTTATTCACAACCGATCACATTCTTTGGTTGGTCCCTCATCGTTTGTAAACCAATCATTGAAGCTCAGCAAACTGACTATAAGTGACACGGAAGATTCAGTGGAACTGGTAGAATGTGTCAAAGGAAATACCTTCAAAGAATTTCAGGAACCTTTTATTGATGATGGTGTCAACGAAAAGCCTCTTGAAATTATTGACGAGAACCCCATGAAGATTGAGAGTGTAGGCATTGAAGATTTTGAGGTTTTGAAGGTTGTTGGGCAGGGTGCATTTGCAAAAGTATATCAGGTTAGGAAGAAGGGGACATCAGAAATATATGCAATGAAGGTCATGCGGAAGGACAAGATCATGGAGAAAAATCATGCCGAATACATGAAAGCTGAGAGGGATATTTTAACAAAAATCGATCATCCATTCATTATCCAACTTAGATACTCATTTCAGGTATTTCCTGCCCTGCTCTGGAAGTATTTGTTCGTATTTACCTTTTCTGTTCTGCCCTTCTATATCATGCTTAAGAGAATCCATGTTGGGAAAAAGCAGTCTTATGAACCATATCTTCAAAAGATACTGTCAATTGATATACTCAATGTGCTGATTTGGTGACTTTCTTGATGATGACTAGAGGACTAACTTAGTTTAATTTGCTATGCAGACCAAATATAGACTTTATCTTGTGCTGGATTTCATTAATGGTGGTCACCTTTTCTTTCAGCTCTATCACCATGGCCTTTTTAGGTACCTTTGGTTTCAACATTCGATATTTTGTTTATTTATGAGCTCAAAGATGCAGACACTTAACTTTTCTCTTTTTTTTTTCAGAGAGGAGCTGGGACGAATATATGCAGCTGAAATTGTTTCTGCGGTTGCTCACCTCCATGCAAATGGAATAATGCATAGGGATCTTAAACCTGAAAATATCCTATTGGACTCAGATGGCCATGTACATTCTCCCTCTCTGTTTACTGCTCTGATTAATTGCTGCCTATGAATTGTAACTGATTTCATGACCACTGGTTTATTTAACAGGCCATGTTGACTGATTTTGGTCTTGCGAAGCAACTTGAGGAGAATACAAGATCTAATTCCATGTGTGGAACTGTGGAATACATGCCACCTGAAATAGTTCTTGGAAAGGGCCACGATAAGGCTGCAGACTGGTGGAGTGTGGGAGTCCTATTGTTTGAGATGCTTACTGGAAAGGTTTGCTTTTTATTCATTTTCTTCTTGTATATCACGATGATATAGGAAAATTTTCTTGATAGTCCGGTGGAAATTCTGTCTAAATTCAAAGTCAACAATCATTATATACATATAGATATGACAAAACTTATTATATTGAAAGGCCATTGTTTGTTAAATGTATTATTGTTAGGAGGTTAGCCGGGTTTGTTTCTTATGCTAGTGTAATATTGTCTGTATGTACTGTTTATGTTGGACATCTCATCCATGATCAATAAACTTCTTTTTCAAAACTGATGAAAAGAATATTTTGTTTGTCAATTAGGTAACCCAAGCACAGAAGTGCACTTTAGGAATTGTGTCCGTAGTTTTATGTCAATACAGATCTTATAAGTTGGAACATTTATTCTACGGCTAATATCATCTAATATGAAATTAATTTTTCCCTGCTTTTGCTTCTGCAGCCTCCTTTTACTGGGAACAGGGAGAAAATTCAGCAGAAGATAGTTAAGGAGAAGATCAAGTTGCCATCCTTTTTGTCAAGTGAAGCACATTCTCTGTTGAAAGCGGTATATATTCATTTACTCCAATCAACCTTCTTCTCTTGGATAATTTCTGCTTTTGTACGAGATTACTTACTGCTTCTATATGACTAAGCTTCCTTTGTATGAGATTACATTCTGGAACTATATGACAAAGTGTTCTTCTATCTTAATCTATGAACTGAATCTAGAACATTGTCAAACCACTGCGCCATCACTTCAAGTAGTCCCCAATAGATATGAAAAGACCAGCGTCTTTTATTTTTGCTTAGTGGGTGGCTGGGAACGGCAATGCTGATCCCTGAGTTTTCTTTTGAGCCTTCTAATCCATGACTGAGAGAACTGACTTTGCTGGTTATGTTTGCAGCTGCTACATAAGGATTTAAGCAAGCGCCTTGGTAGTGGGCCTTTGGGGAGTGAGGACATCAAGCGCCACAAATGGTTCAAGCCAATAAATTGGAAAAAACTGGACGCTCGGCAAATCCAACCAAGCTTTCGTCCTGAAGTTGCTGGGAAGCATTGCATTGCCAATTTTGACAAGTGCTGGACTGACATGTCAGTTGTGGATTCCCCAGCTGCTAGCCCAAATGCTGCTGGAAACCCCTTCACCGGCTTCAGTTATGTTAGGCCGGCCTCCTCTTTTCTCCAGAAGTAGACCTCATTTGCTAGCATGTGTCATCCCAAGATGCAAGTTTTTCGACATTTCATATCCTTTCCCTCATAGGATCTTTTTAACTGTGAACTTATGTAAGCTGCTTGAAAGCAGTATCCAGGAGAGAGATTTCTCTTTAGCGGTCCTCTCTTGAGATTAGACCATATGAAATTTGCTGCAGACACATTTGCGTCTGTAGAAGTCTGAATGTTGTATTTCCTTTTCAAAATTACTATAATTATATCCACTTTTTATTTAAATTCGTGACATATTAATGTTATGGTAATATCACGAGAATTCTTATAAGCTCTCTAAAATAATCATTTGCCACGTCTACCAATCGTCATCAAGAACCAATTTTCTTAAAAACAATGTTATTTTCTCATGTTTTCGCTTATTTTCCATATTTTTTGTGCATTTTGGGGAAGCAAATTTCACATGTGGATAAATAAGAGAACACGTGTCAAAGTGCCAGCCTTTGCTAACACTTCTAGTAGTTCTCCCACAGAACAGAAGGTTCACACTTCACAACATAACCTCCATACAAGCATGGCCTATCTGCACTCTCCAAGTCTAACCACACTTAAGCACAACCCTAAACCTGCATGCTTCCCTCCTTCAAAACCCTCTCCACTTCACAATCTCTGCTTCTTCACAACCCAACTCAAAATCCAGCCTCAGAGATGCAATGCATTCTTCAGCGAAATCTCCGATAGTATATTGGAAACCGCCCTTCATTTGGACCAATTTCCTCCTCTGCAATATGGTTTCATGCAGTTTGAGAGGATCACAGAGGAGCTATCAGAAACACAGAAGTGGGGGTTCCTTGTTTTTGCTGGGGTTACTTGGATATACTTAACTGCGAGGCCGGGGATTCTCATTGGCGCCATTGATGCGTACCTTCTTGCTCCTCTGCAGTTGGTGTTGGACAGCTTGATTGGGAGGAGGAGGTTGAAGAGGACGGACTTTGTGATCGGGGAAAAATTGGGAGAGGGGTCTTTTGGTGTGGTATATTCCGGGGCAGTTGTTCCGAAGAATGTGAATGTGGAGGAGATGGTGCAGAGGAGAGGAAGGGGAAGGGCACCACAATTGGATGAGAGGTTTAAGGACAAGGTCATCCTCAAGAAGGTAAGTAGGTAACTCTGTGATTTATCATGGTAATGATATAAGTATTTACGGTTTTGGGAAACTATACACAAATAGAACCGCTTACAAACTTTTTTGTGTGTGCATAGTTTCTAAGGTATTACAAGATTGGCTTTGTAGATTTGATCATTTACTTTATTTATCAGTGTTTTCTGTGATGTGTAAAAAGATTGATCTGATTTTTTTTTGGAATGGAAAATGCAGGTGAAGATTGAAGTTCAAGGGGCTGAAGAATTTGGCGAATTCGAGGAGTGGTTTAATTACAGGTTGTCTAGAGCAGCACCTGAAACATGTGCTGCGTTCCTGGGAAGTTTTGTTGCTGATAAAACAACATCACAGTTTACGAAGGGTGGAAAGTGGCTCGTCTGGAAATTCGAGGTACCTACGCCATTTGTGGATCACTTGTTCGAAAATCTAAAGCATTTTGCTCTAGATTCAGATTATTTAGATCAATCCATGACAGACTGCTTTATATGATGATTACGAACTCAGTGCTATTTTACATGTGATTTTAAATCCATGACAGGGAAACCAAAACCTTGATGATTACATGAAAGATCGGAAATTCCCTTTTAACTTGGAGTCTGTCATGTTTGGACGTGTCCTGCAAGATGTAGACTCCGTCAAACGCAGTGCATTGATCATCAAGCAAATCATGCGTCAAATTATTACTTCGCTCAAGAAAATCCATGACACGGGCATTGTCCATAGGGATGTAAAGCCAGCGAACTTAGTAGTAACAAAAAAGGGACAGATCAAGCTCATAGATTTCGGGGCAGCCACTGACCTTCGGATTGGAAAGAATTATATACCAGACCGTGCCCTTCTTGACCCTAACTTTTGTCCTCCTGAACTATATGTGCTCCCAGAGGAAACACCGAATCCTCCTCCTGAGCCTATTGCCGCCTTACTTTCTCCGATTCTTTGGCAGGTACTACACTTTCAACCCTTTATTTGCGATGCCAAATATATAAAAGCTATGTTGCTTTGCAGGAGGTATTTGGATTAGAAAAAAGCACGAATTCTTGTTTTAAAGCGTAGAAAATCTGTTTACGAGATGAATCAGACGTTGTGATTATTGTTGCAGCTGAACAGTCCTGATCTGTTTGATATGTATTCTGCGGGAATTATACTACTGCAAATGGCAATACCATCCTTAAGGTCTTCAGCAGGCTTAAAGAATTTCAATTCAGAGATAAAAATGGTTAAATATGATTTGAATAAATGGAGGGACTACACTCGGTTGAGGCCAGACTTGTCACTTCTTGATCTTGATTCGGGTAGAGGGTGGGATCTGGCCACAAAGCTTGTTTCCGAGAGAGGTTCCCTTAGAAGAGGGCGCTTATCTGCCGCTGCTGCTCTAAGGCATCCTTATTTCTTGCTAGCTGGTGACCAGGCAGCTGCAGTTCTCTCAAAATTAAGTTTTACCAAATAGTGAGCTGCTTATGATGTGAGTTTGCCCAAGTAAATTTTCTGTGGTTTGTTTTCTTTATTTCTTCGGAAATACAAGTCAAAATCTGATTCGTCGTGCATAATAAAAGGCAACCTTTCCTTTTGTCACAGAAACTGAAGAATGGAGAGGCTCACAGACACAAGGCGTTGCCCACTTAGGTTGTGATGGTTGCCATTTTGCATCCGATGAGACCTAAGGTTCTCGCTTTCAATTTGCCACTCCATCGGATGCAATTACAGGAGTTACAGGTCTTCAATTGTTTTTCTTTACTGGTAATATTATAGCAGAGGAGGTATACACATATACTCCCCCAACCCCACTTTGTAATTCATTCTACATTTAGCAGTACTCTCTGTATCGGAAAGCTCATTTATGTCATTAGAAAGTAACGAAATCAATTGGTTCATGATCAACCTAGTAATATAGTTTTTGACAATGTTTCTTTTAGTTTATCACGCAAAAATTACAGCTCGCAAGTCCATATTTGCAGACTATTGGAATCGACAAGAATTGCAGTTTGTAAGTCGATATCCATGACTTTCATGTGATCGGGGAAGAGTTCAAAACATGTTATACTACCTTCTTGACAAAACGAACTCTCCTTATTTTTTCTATGAAGAGTAAGATCACAGACTACACATAATACATATCAATGAAGAAATGACGATTCAAAGCATACAGCATTTACAGATCATCGTGATGTAACAAGAATGCATCTAGTGGATTCTTCTTCTTACAACCCCACCGGCATTTCCAAGAACATTGAGAGTTGAATAGACCAAGTCTTGTGGAGTGAAGGGCTATGATGCTTGATGTTGAAGGAGATTTTGAGAGAACAACTGCATACCCATCGTCCATGTAGTCCGTTCCTTCTGGGAAGAGCTGCCACAAAAGACTCCCACCTCCACTCCCTCCTTTCTTCATAGAATTGAGGATGGTCTTGTACACTGTGCTGAGAAGGGTGTCTCTAAATGATGAATTGTAGCTGGGGTCTTTCGAAGATACGCCAAACTCGGAAAACATGACCGGCATTCCAAGATACTTTTCTGCATCCTCAATGTGGGCTTCCATCCATGACTTGGTAAATTGGAGATGCACATCAGAGATTGATGATGATATCCTTCGTCAACGAATTTATAAAACTTCAATCAGAAATTGTATACTCAAATACATTGTTAGGAACTAAGACAATTTATTTTCAAAAGTTACCAAGAGTCTGCATAAATGTGAACAGAAGCAAAATCGACACCGAAAACCTGGTGGTTCCTTATGAAATCAGTTCCAACTTCTTGAGCATATGGATTTGGATTGAATTGAACTACGGTCAGGTGCTGAGGGACCATAAAATCCTTCCAATCCAATCTCTACCAAGTGTTTCGGATCAATGCTCTTAACATAAACTGCCATTTCTTGTATCCAATCCTAGAAGACAGAACATTACAAAAAAAAAAAAAAAATGATAAATTCCAATAAAACACAGACACAGACAGTCATATCTGTTGAAGAGTATAAACCTGCAGTTTATCGCCCGAAGGATCTGAGGTGCATTGAGGCTCGTTCATCAGTTCCCAAGCGAAAATTGTGGGATCGTCCTTGTAAGTTATGTTTGTGAGTGTATTAACTCTATTAAGCACCGTCTACAACAACGAATATGCATGAAGAAAATCACTACAAACTTAATTAACAGGTAAATTAAGCACAAAACCGACAAGCGTAAGATGATCAAGGCTTGTAAAATAATGGTTTTGACATGCCTTAACATGGGCCTTGTAGTAGCTTTTGAGTGTTGGATGAGAGAAGAAATCGTCGTCAGAAGTCAAATTCACACCAGCTGCTTTTCCCCATTTAACATATTGTGCTTTTCCACCATATGCATCCCAGTTGTTGGTTAAAGATAATATGAGTCTGATCTTGTATTTCCTTGCTTCACTTATCACAAAATCCAATGCCTGCAACTCATCGTACGAAATTCACTTAGAATTCGGAGAGTAGTTCGAAAGCATTGAACAAACAAGTGGTTAGGGATTTTGCCTTGAAAACTTCTTCATCATAAACTGATGGAGATTTCTGAAGAGCTTGCCACTGGCCGTCGTTGAAAGCCCAAGTCCTGCAAACAGTTAGTCCGACCGAAGATGCCTGTTTAAACACATCAGTGACTTTTCCTCTTGTGGATTGATCAGCAGCAAATACCATCAGCGAGTAGGTGTTGAATCCATTCACATAGAAAGGTTGATTATTCACCACAAATTGGTTCCCTTTCTTCTGCACTAAGTGCCACTCATCGTCTTCCATTCCGCCATTCACCTCTTCAACCCTACACGTATAGGAACATATACATTACGCACATAAAATAAAGCTTGACATAGAGAAACAAAATAAATACACTCTTATGGGTACCAATCATTTGGGCTTGGATACGCTAAATGATCTTCGGCTTCCTCCGCCACAGTTTCCATTTGCTCAACTCCACTGGCATCAAAGAAAGTAGAACTACAATGGTTGATGAAAATCATAAAAATGGTCACCAAAATAATGTTCTGTGGCACCATTTTTCTTTTGTGGGCATCCATGACATGGATTTGGACTTGAGAGAATGCATTTTCTTTGGGATACGTATTTATACGTATGGATCAGATGATGTCTACACAAGAAAAAGTGTTGGAATTGAAGAGATCATCACATTTCAAACTTTGAAGGGAAGGCAAAACAAATTGCTTCTTGGCTCCACAATGTGTACTGTTTCAAGGGTAGGAGTAAAGTTGCAGCTAGTATCAATCCCTAAGGCACTTTCAGTTAGGTCCTACAACAAGGTGGGTTGAGCAGTAGCAAACTAACATAGTTATAAAAACTGAAAAAATTGAGACGAGAAGATTAATGTGTCTGAAGAGCGAAAAACCGAAAACATTTTAGAATAATGTAAACCGATAATCCGATGTTTGTTTGTGATTATGGTTAGATAGTGTGTTGCTTTCAGTTTCAGCTCAGATGTCATGATCATCATTTACATATGATGGAGTAGAGTGCATTTGATCATCTAGAGAATTCCTAGAAAGCAAGAACTAGGCTGGTTCTATATATGCATTAAAAACAAAGTTCAGAGAGAAAGCAAGAAAGATGGATTATTTACCTTTTTTTCTGCAAAAACTTGGTTACTTTGTCAACAGCTCATGAAGAACAAGAAGAAAAGGAGGAGAAGGAAAGCTGAAAAAAGGAATGCATGTCTTTGTGTCGGTTGCACTGCATTGCGAAGGTAGGTAGCTTTTCGTTTTCCTTTTCTTTTTGCCTTTAAGGTCTTTGTGACTACACGTATCAATATTCAGTACCACAAGGATTGTCGAGTGCTGTGTTGTCTTGGCCAAAGCTGTTTGTTCTAGCTAAAGGGGTTAAGTTTTTCTTTTTGTGTTGCGGTTGCATGGGTTTTGTCCCCCGCTTTTTTCAACCAAAAAAATGCCGAGTGTTGCCGAGTGTTGCCGAGTCTTACTCAAACAACCAAAGAGTCATCGGAGACACTATCAGCAACTTTCCCGGCCGCCATGGAATCAACTGACCACGTTAACCCATGGTAGATCCGCCATTCCCGACCACAGGCGTAACCCGCGTGAATGTTGTGAACTATACACAAATTGGTATGGTTTTCATATGCAAAGCTAGTGTTTGATTTACTTGTTCACAACTGAGGATGATGAGAGGATTCTAAATTTGTAAGAATTGTGTTAGGAGGACTTTTGCAGCCATTGCTTGTGACACATCCATCTGCTACCAAAATGCAGCAGGGCATGATAGTAAATTACATAAGTTTGAAAACTTTCGAAAAACTTAAGAAAGCTCTTATGTAACAGATCATCAGTGAGCTTCTTCTCTCAAAAAGACGTGAAGTGGGCTCAAAACATACGTCAGAGCACACTACTCTAGAAAACATGTCCTCTTAGTCCTCAGGTAATAAGTTAACTTATATCTCACCATGTGTATCGTATGCATTATTCTCCTAGAGTTTATTATAAATGTTTAAATCTATGCACCTGCTTGGTAACCATTTTTAGTTTCAGCTCTTATCTTTTTGTGCTATAGATAAATAAAAAATATGCAGAAGAAAATATGAATGAAGAATGTGAAGGAGGATGGTGGAAGAAATGTGAAAAAAATGGCATAAAAAATAAAGACTAAAAATCAAAAATTGAAAACAAATTTATGTTTTGTTTTATCTTTATTAATTAATGAAACTCTATTTGTCAACCAAAAGAGGATGGAAAGACTACTTAGTCTTCTATCACACAAAACAAATTATGGGCAACAATGTAATTTCACAGGTCTAAATTTTACTGTTTTTTATTGAAGCTTCACTTACAAATGATGTCAAAATACCTCCAATATATATATATATATATATAGTTAAAAAAACAAAAACCTCCCACTCCCCCCCCAAGTTCTCTCTCTCTCTCCCTCTTTCCCTCTCTCCTTCTCATTTTCTAAAAAAACGTGTTCATACATACAAAGTGTGTAGGCTAAATGCTAGTATAAATTTTAATATCATTGATTTCTCCCTAGTCACTCCACCCTTCCACCACCTCCCTTATCATTCTCCATCCCTCATGCATGTACGTTAATCTTTTCAAATGATAGAGAGAGGGAATAGGGTTTCTCCCTTCTACTCTCTCTCTCTCATTCTCTTTTCTTCTATTTGAATAGTTACGACTAATCTACATTAACATTTAGAGTTAACTTTTATATAAAGAAAGATAGACAAAGAGGAAAGTGTGAAAGAGAAGAGAAAAGGAGATGAAATTTGGAGAGGAGACAATCCTACTCCTTTAGAGAGGGAAACGGAGTTTTTTTTTTTTCAATGGTCAAGCATTAAAAAACAAGCGAAATAATCACCAGGCAAAGGTTCTCTTTGAGTTTCCTCCCGCGTTGTCGATCGAGATGAAACAGGAGATGAACCAGTTGTGGTTGGGACATATAATGATATCATTTGTTGCTACGCAGCTCGGATCTATCAACGTGAGCACTACATCTGTAATCCGTACACCAAGCAATATTGGATTGCTCTTCCTATTCCTTCTGGATTTTACGTGAGTGTACGAGCAGAGTTAATATGCAGTCTATATGACGCCAGTGTTGCTCGCAATGAGATGTTGTATTGGTGGGGGCAAAGATTTTATCCATACTCCAACAATAATGCTAGTACTTCCTCTACTACTACCATGAACAAAGCTATGAACGGATCAAAATGGTCCCAGGCCTACCTAATAGTTTTTCACACAGAAAAACTAGAGTTATCATTATGATTTCGAAATATTTTTGAGGGTATTAGAGCCCAACCAGAATCTTTTCCTTGTTTTCTTCACTGGGTTTGATTTAAGATCGGTGGTTCTTATGCAATTAACCGATATCACTGTGAGTTTTAAGGGACTTAGGTGATCAGAAGAGGAGAGAGACGAAGTAAGTCAGTGAACTGATTTTTTTATTTTTTAATATATTACTTGAAGTTTTTTAATACTATTACTTTTGCGTTTTATCTTTTTTCTTATTTTTTTTCTATTTCCCTCCTCTTTCCTTCCTCCCCTTGCTTAAAGGGACTTTTATTTTGAATCTGAGTCATAATGGTAGACATGGGAGTTGAGTTGAGGAAGATAATGACAAGAAGCACATCATACTAAACACAAATGATGGTGGTTTGTAGTTAGGACACGTCAATTCCATTTTTTTCTGAAATCAAAAGAGCATTTTAGGGTAAAACTTTTGACCCCTTCGGAGCCAAAATTCAGGCTCTGCCAACTACTACTAATATATTGGTGTTAGTATTGGGAGTTGAAAGATGAACACGCGACAACAAATGGCATTCGGTGGATAAAGTTCTCCTCGACCAAAATGGTTACGAAAAAAAGAGTCCGGATCCTTGCCGGATTTTCTTTGTGAGGATCTTGAGAATCATGAATTGTGTCTATTTATCGTACATCGTACGGTTAGAAATCATTTTAAATATTTTTATTTAAAAACAAATATAAAATGTACTTGATAAAAACTGATCGCATAATGTACAATAAATAAACATGATTTACGAATCTGTATGATCTTCACCAAAAGAATATGAAGAGGAAGGATCCTATTGGACGAAAAAAATAAAGTCTTGGCTCTCTGGGAGCATGGGGAACAGCTATGTCTGGGAAAACGCGGTCACAGTGCAAGATTTCCAACCAAAGTAATTTGGACATAAAGCTGTTTGAACACATATACATTTACAACGTTCGATTGAAATCCATCGTTTTCAATTCTACCTTTTAAAGGTAGTGTTATTATTATTTTTTTCCAAAGAAAAGGGAACCGTTGGTGGCGAAATCGCGACAGTCTATCTTCCGAAAGCCGAAAAAATTCACAAAAGCATTTCAACTTCTTTCTGATCATATTGTATGATTCACCAGCACCAAGAAGTTATAACAATCTGTAATTTAAAGTAATGTTTGCAACGCGGAAAACGTGCTTTCCCATTGTTGATCCCTTCCTGGCCAACCTTTTTTTGGTCAAGAATCAAGATTAGTTTTTTATCCTTTCTACACAGTTTCGTTAAATTGTTCATTGAAGTATCAATGAGTGGGATCTTTAGCATTTGAGGTGTTTGCTACTGCACAGAGCATCATCATCCAAAATTTTAGGGAGATAAACTTTAGTACAACACATGAGGCGAGAGATCATCCCAAGAAGTATATATTCATTGCAATGTAGATATTATTGTCACCGTATCGCAAATTAAATCTATGTAGTCGTGTGAAAAAGTTAAAATGCATGTTATTGCATCATTGGCTAAGAATATCACCATAATGTCAAATGTAAGTGTTGTTTTCTGCATTGGGCAACCTTATAGGAGGCATGAGCGAAAGAAAAACTTGAATGTAACACACGAAGAGACTTGAGTGATTCGTTACATTTAGATCACAACCTATGTGAGTGTGTTCTCGAATAAGTAGTCTCATTCAAGACGTAGCCAAGAGAGACTTAAGTGCAACGACACAATGAGAAAGGCACAAGTGTATCCCAGTTATGAAAAAAATTTATGCGTGCTGGAAACAAGACCGGTTCACCAAATGTTTTATTACAAGTGATTGAAATTTTTTTTTCAAATATTCAACTACTTATATTATGATATATTACATACCATATCATATTCTCGACAAACTAGAGAGAGAAAAAATAAAAATAAAAAACTCTCTCATTTGACCTAAATTTTAGCCATTGTCATTACAAGTTTACAACGAGTTTCGAATCATTACATGCCACCTACTAAGGTATAACCCTATGGGCCCCACTTTAAACGCGTGTCCCTCCTGTCATCATCACTCAATCACTGATCTGTCATCCAGTACTCAATGAGAAGCACTTTCGAGTTTGACAAGCGGCACCTCCCAAATTCCGACCCCACACGGAAGGTCAAACCCGCCCTTTCCCAGTTCAACCCCCACTAAATCTGAGCTGGCGATGGCATCCGCCGAGAATACTCACACAACCAATGGCAATTGCCCAGAAACTCTCAGCACCACCAAGTTAAACAGCTAAGTAAACAGCAAGTTTGCCATTAAAACCAGCTTCCCTGATTTCTGTTTCTGCTATTTTCCCAACTTGCCGATTCCACAGAGCTCTCCCGAAACCCGATACTTTCTCCGGCGGTTTCTCTCCGATAAGGTATACCAAAACTCCCACCTTCTTCTTGAAAAACCTTAAGATGTTCTGTTCTAGTCAAATTCCTTCAGTTTGATTAATTCAGCTTGATTTCTGAATTTTTTAGTCGATTTTCCGATCTGGGTTATCGAAAAAGTATAGATCTTGATCTTTTCTGGTAGTTTTCTTCTGCTGGGTTTACTTTTTCTTTCTGCTGGGTATACTCAAATCCGAAGTGGGTATGATTATGAACACTGCTGGGTTTGTAGCTGTGTTCGTCTTTGTATTTCTTTCAATCCATGTTGTTTTGTCTGCTAATTATGTCCCATCTGATAAAATCTTCCTAAACTGCGGCGGTCCTCCCGAAACCACCGATTCCGATGGCCTGAAATGGACATCGGATGTGGGCTCTAAGTTTGCATCCGGTGGAAATTCCTCCACCACTTCCGCCGCCGCCACTCAGGACCCTGCAGTCCCTGACGTTCCCTTCATGACTGCGAGGGTCTTCCGCTCCAAATTCACCTACAAATTCCCGGTTGCATCCGGTCGAAAGTTCATCCGCCTATACTTTTACCCTGCATCCTATTCCGGCCTCAATGCCTCCAATGCTGTTTTTACTGTCACTGCTCAGTCCTATACTATTCTCAAGAACTTCAGTGTTGCTCAGACAACTGAGGCTCTCGATTATGTTTATATTACCAAGGAGTTTTCTGTCAATGTCGATGGCGAGACGTTGGATGTTTCGTTTGCACCCTCTGCCGGGGTTGCGAATGCGTTTGCATTTGTGAATGGGATTGAGATTGTGTCAATGCCTGATATTTACAGTGCCACTGATGGTACTACCATGATTGTGGGTCAATCGGCTCCTTTCTACATTGATAATACCACTGCACTTGAGAATGTTTATCGGTTAAATGTGGGTGGGAATGATATCTCACCGCCAGATGATACGGGTCTGTTCAGGTCCTGGTATGATGACACCCAGTACCTCTTAGGGGCAGCATTTGGGGTTACCGAAACTGCTGATCCAAACATGACGATTAGTTACCCTACGAGCATGCCTACATATGTTGCACCACAAGATGTCTATTCCACTGCCAGATCAATGGGGCCAAATGCACGAATCAACCTCAATTACAACTTGACTTGGATTTTCTCAATCGACTCTGGATTCTCGTACCTGGTTAGGCTACATTTCTGTGAGGTTGCCCAAAATATAACGAAGGTTAATCAACGAGTATTCGATATCTTTCTCAACAATCAAACTGCTCAGTCTGGAGCTGATGTTGTTGCCTGGGCCGGAGGCAATGGAATTCCGGTGTACAAGGATTACGTGGTGTTTGTTCCGAATGGGAGTCCGCAGGTGGATCTATGGCTTGAACTGCATCCAGACACTAGTGATAAGCCAAATTACTATGATTCGATCCTAAACGGAGTTGAGATATTCAAGATTAATGATACAACCGGTAACCTTGGAGGGCTTAATCCTGTTCCTCTTCCCAAGCAGGATAACATTGATCCAGCCAAGGCTAGACTATCATCAGGTCATGGCAAGCTGAAGAGTGATCGAAGAGCAATTATCTCTGGGGGAGTTAGTGGTGGAATTGCCGTAGCCCTCGTCCTTGGTTTCTTGGTTGTTTGTGTGTCACACCGCCGTAGACAAGGGAAGGACGCAAGTTCAAATGATGGGCCATCTGGCTGGCTTCCTCTTTCTTTATATGGAAACTCACACTCTGCAGGTTCTGCAAAGACAAACACAACAGGAAGTTATGCTTCCTCACTTCCTTCAAATCTTTGTCGACACTTCTCGTTTGCTGAGATCAAATCTGCCACCAACAACTTTGATGAGGCTCTAATCCTCGGGGTGGGAGGCTTTGGAAAGGTTTACAAGGGTGAAGTTGATGGTGGAACAACCAAAGTAGCAATCAAGCGTGGAAGTGCACTGTCTGACCAGGGTGTGCATGAATTCCAAACTGAGATTGAAATGCTCTCAAAGCTTCGCCATCGTCATCTCGTTTCTCTGATTGGCTATTGTGAGGAAAACTGTGAAATGATCCTTGTTTATGATTACATGGCTTACGGAACCCTGCGTGAGCATCTGTACAAAACTCAAAAGCCCCCTCTATCCTGGAAGCAAAGGCTTGAGATTTGTATTGGGGCTGCTCGCGGTTTGCATTATCTTCACACTGGTGCCAAGCACACAATCATCCACCGAGATGTGAAGACAACTAATATTCTCTTAGACGAGAAGTGGGTCGCAAAGGTTTCGGATTTTGGGCTGTCAAAAACAGGTCCTACATTGGACAACACGCACGTCAGCACCGTCGTGAAAGGTAGCTTTGGGTATTTGGATCCAGAGTACTTCAGGCGGCAACAACTGACGGAAAAATCTGATGTCTACTCATTTGGGGTTGTCCTTTTCGAGATCTTATGTGCTCGCCCGGCCTTGAACCCAACGCTTCCAAAGGAGCAAGTGAGCTTAGCAGAGTGGGCTGCCCATTGTCACAAGAAAGGCATTCTGGAGCACATCCTCGACCCTCATCTCAAGGGGAAGATAACGCCAGAGTGCTTCAAGAAGTTCGCTGAGACAGCAATGAAATGCGTTTCAGACCAAAGCATCGACAGGCCATCAATGGGAGATGTTCTTTGGAACCTTGAGTTCGCTTTGCAGCTACAGGAGAGTGCAGAAGAGAGCGGCAAGGGTATCGGTGGAGGAATGGACATCGAGGAAGAGGAGCCCCTCGTGGACTATAAAGGGAAGAAGGACCCCGACGCAATGCCCGGCTATGATGGTAATGTAACAGACTCAAGGAGCACCGGAATGAGCATGAGCATAGGCGGCCGGAGCCTAGCTAGCGTCGACTCTGATGGTTTGACACCAAGTGCCGTGTTCTCGCAAATCATGCAGCCTAAAGGACGTTAGGATTGAAGGCACAGTTCATCCCTCGAATCAATTCAGGCAATGAAGTTTGCTGTTTGTTTTTTTTTTTTTTTTTTTTTTTTTTTTTCGTTTAAGTTACCGTTATTCTCCAAATATTATTTGAACCTTCTTATGATTTGATCACGTTTAATTGTAATTTTGTATCTATAATATTACACCAAGAGCTTGAGAATATGTTTTATTACTTCACTATACTTGCTATAGCATTGCCGATTTCGCTTTCACATTTCTTTTGTCCGTCTCAACCAACTGGTCTAACTCAAATTTTTGCTTTTATAGTATAAACTAGAAAATGTGCCCGCACGTTGTTGCGGGACTTGAATGCATCACATTGAACTCCATAAATAAGATACATTTTACCTAAATAACTCAATACAATCATGAATGAAGTGAGGGAGGAATAGATGAGCAAATGGGTTGGTAAGATATGTAGCTTTGTTTTTATATACATTCAATTGAGCTGGTTTTGAAAGACATTGTATGATGAACAGGATGAAACATAACGTTTTGGTTTCCTAATAAACAGAAGTAACATGTAGTTAACACAAATCTTGCCCTTGTAGTCAAGGTGGGAAAATATATATAGAAGGTGTTTGTGGTGTGACCATGGCAATTGATGGTCTTGAGAGCGGTTGGTTTTGGAGTAGTCCATGAACGATGAAGTCAGTCTTCCTGAAGTCAGTGTTTTGATTTCCAAAAGAGAGCTGGAAATGTTTTGTCTCGCCGATCAAATTATTCAAAGCTGGCACAACTACGAAAGGATCGTGAAAGAAAGAACTACCTGACCTCTGGAGAATTAGAGGTTACAAAGATAATGAAGAATGAGAAACAAAGCTTAGAACAAACGTATAATATAAGCCGAAATAACCAAACAGTCACGTTAAAAATTATAAAATCGCACTGTCTCAAAATGGAAAGCATGGGGAAACAATGTATTGAAGTTCAGGACATACCAAAGGCTTGATTGAAATCTAATGGCTCAGAACCCCTTGATTAAAGGCAGCAGCAAGAGCAGATTATGATTCTATGATGTGAGCGCGATCTAAACTACAAAAAGCAGTGAGACTGAGATTAAGAATTTGAAGTGCAAACAAACAGTTATAATAAAAGTAACTTAAATTGTGATTGTATAACGGACTCAATCTGTGAAAGTTCACCAAATAAAGGACAAGTCTCAGAACATTAAACATAAAAACTGAAACACCCCCATCTCTCTACAAATCTTACAAACAAAATCCCAAACGTAATCCTTGAAATCCAAACAGACCTAATTCAGAAACCATTTCTGTCGGACACCCCATACAATAGAAAATGCACCCTATACCCCGAACATAATGCTTAGTGGCCAGATAGCAATCTGTGCAGGTTGATCAAGATGTCACTAATTAGTTTTTGTGAACAGATGGTTAACCATTTTGCCAAAATTTTTTTTTGCAGAAAGTGGACCATGTTTAACTTTAAAAGACAATCGCTATTTTGCCTAGACAGATTGCATCACCAATGGCTTGCCACATATTCACAAAAATGAACAATGCCGATTGACAGATGGACAGACCTGAATGGTACCAACCGAAGCACAACAATCCTCCAAAGGAAAACAAACAACGAAATGACTTCAAGAAAAATCTGTATCATTTATTCAATGAAGCACCCTAAGTTGGAAAAGAGTAAAATTTAAATTGAAAAACAATAATCTAATAGAGACAAATTTATAACAGAAAACCATTAGAATCTTTACAGAAACCAACAAAAATGGCTGCAAGTTAAAATTCTTAAAATTTGATATTTGGCTTTAAATTTCCCTAATGTTTATAATAATTGGTGAATACAAAATTAGACACATCAGTTAAGAATACACCAAAGTTAATACACCGTTGTAACACGTTGCAATCATTAGTGCATGTATATAGAGACACACATCTGAGATGGGGAAAAAGCCCAAAAAAAAAAAAACAAAAACAAATTTTCAAAATATAGCAAAATTAATATATAAAAGCAAATGAGTGCTGTTTCACCTATCTGAAATGAAATGAAAGGCTTTACTGAAATGAAGGCCTACCAGGTGCAATAGAAATAAACTATATAGTTGGGCCTTGTACATGGTTAGATCTTTGGTCACCAGGAATTATACTAAAAGGCAGACTAATTAAATGATTACGCTTAGAACTATAATGTTGTTTGAATTTTTAAAAACTGTTAACTGATTGAAAAACCACACCATTTAAAGAACCAGTGGAGTTCAGAATAAGTATGAGATACTCCATAGGTAAATGAACAACCATTAATATAATTTTTTTTCTCAGCATGACAACAACAAACTCAATGATCAAACTTCATACTCATGCTTTCCAAAAAGAAAAGAAAACGAAAAACTGAAATCATTGACAATTCCAAGCAATATAACAACTATTATTAAGATCCAAAACGAAATGTGGAAAGTATGGGGACCAAACACTATTAGAAGTTGGAAAGATATGCTGATGCAGCAGTTTGACAACACAGTTTGGGAAACTTTGGGTAGGAAATATGCTCGCAAGGAAAACCAACAATGGGTGAGTATGACTCTCAAAGCTGGTTTATGTTTAAATTACTAAATTACCATAATCGTTGTTGGTTCATTTTCACCGATGGTCTACTTTGTATTCAAGTTCTTGTAAAGAAAATTGGTCTTTTAACATGCTCTTTTGTAAATTTTAAAAAGGATCGTAATTTTGTTAAGAAATTCAATTCCCAAATTGAAATTGCAAAGAAAGTAGATCCGTTAGATGCTCATGTCTTTCTTGTTACAGATACTCATATTGTGCTTAATTAGCATCACAAATCATGATATTAAAGTTCTAATCATGTTAAACCTATGCCATGTAGCATATGCATTCAACTCAATACCCTAAAATTACAGCCAAAATTAATTGATATTATCAAGAAGTTCAGACTTTACCAAAGCAGCAAGGTAGCGGTTGCAAAATTCACAATCAAAAGCTTTCACTTTGTTTCGATCTGCAAAATACCAAACAGACATGTTGAGGAAAGAAAACACATTTGATTAAAGAAAGCACTTCAGCCATTATCAAATTGTCAACCGAGCGAAATGTATAAAACTATACAAATTTACACAACCAAACTCTATACTTTTTATCAGCGGAAAAAAACAGTAATTTACCTAACAATAAACATGAAATTACATATTCAAATTGATTCGACAGGTTTTAAAGATTCAAAAACTGAACCAACAGACATTTTTTTGAATGTCAAACTCATTGTGTCATCTGAATTCACTTGTATACATAAGCTACCAACGCAATCGCTCTGCTACCACATGTGGTAAGCTATTAATAGCAGAGGAAAAAAAAAAATTACAGAACAAACTCGCAACCAAAATGAGTTACGATCTGAAATAAGAGCGTAGTGATCAAACTATCCGACAAAAACAATGAATCAAAGCAATTTTTTATCAAACAACTAAGGACCTAAATTGTAACGTCTATAGGGTAACCTGCACTTAAAAGAATTAACCATGCCAAAAGCACGGTATAAATGAACTAAATTACGAACTCGACAAATAAAAAGCGTAAACGTTAAACAATTTAAAAGAAAAGAAAACAGCCTTGACTTTGGCTCTTGTTTCTTTCCCGTTTTCTTTTCCCAGATACTTCCTAGTGGGAAATATAAACCATTAATTAAGTGAACACGTCAGCAAAAAAATTGACAGGATTAGATCAAAAGAAAGCAACTAAAAGGTCTAACTTATGTGGTTGAGCACTCTGGGTTAACAAATACCCATCTAACCCTAACCACTATGGTTTTTAAATTATTCTATCTAGTTACAGTGATGGGGTTTCACTGGCAGTTGACGAACAATCATTTATATTTGATGTTCTCAATGACCATTCGGATAAAGCTGTTAAAATGTGTTCTGGAATCGCACACCCTGTGAAGGGATCGACACCAGACCACATCCCTAGAAACCGGCCCTAAAAAACCATACTCATACCTCCCTTATGCGTTCCCTTTCTTCCAAGTTAGGTTGCCTTGCTGGATTATGGCCAAGTGACAGATCTACCGGATGAGTTGAGACTTGGTTATGCTAACCTTGTTCTTGCCATTGCTGACGGTGACCCTATTAGAGCATCAGCGAGCCACAGGTAATGACTTCACTGATATTGCCTTAATTCAAACTAAGCTATTAAGGCAAGAGAAACTAAGGTTGAGACATGACCTGCAAACTGTGTGCAAGTGCATGTGAGTGCAAGGCTCACAGAGACAAAATCGCAATAGAGAAAATAGGTGAATTAGATCATCAAACACTGTATCAATAAGTGAGATTGAATAGAATGGGGTGTCATTGTTGTGCTCAACTTGGATACTGGTATATACATGCTTTGACGGTCGGTACATACATATTTCCAAAGATATAATCAAGTTTATTGGAATATACATATATATATATATATATGGCGGTTACTAAATAAGAAAACAATTCCATCCCTTTTAGATCTTATCTGTATATATAAGCATTCGTTAAACTTCAGACATATGCAAAAGTTTTGATAATGTTAAACCAATGAGACCTTAAATAGATATTCCATACATAGAACAATTACCATATGTGCTCACAACATTAATATCCATAAGCCAAATTATTCATATGTGAACATAGGCATCTGTAAAGTCTGAAAAACATTGGCTTGTTCATGACTTGTAATCAAATATTGCACGAAAGTAATAAGAAACGTAAATCTATACTAACAACATGCCTGAGTCCTCTTCTACAGGAACCTCAATTAAATGACAGAAGTAATACTTAGCAAATAGTAATTGTATAGCTTCGGTCTTATCACAATGCAATCATGCTGATCTCTAATTGAAAGTCTAATAGCCATGCATCTTTGCAAATATACAATTATAAACCATCAGAAAAGAACATGACAGATTCAAACCATTATGCAAAAACAGCAACCAATGCAAATCATTAAGCACAGATTCAAACCTGAGCTTCAAACAAAATTATATTGTTTTAATCTACGTTTGATTAGCTTTACAAATTTGTGAGATTTCTACTTGGTAGTTCCATGAAGACTTTCTGGTTTTAATTTTTTCAAAACTGAAGGGTGACTTGGGTAAGAATTCATCTGACTTGGGTCATAACATAACATAAAATAAACCAAAGTTTCTTGTAACATGACTGTTACAAACTTGAAACATAGTACGGATAGGTAAGGTCTGAAGGGTCATTGGACCTACTTGGGCTTACAAATCTTCTCAAAGTTTCTGCTTCCCTAGAAGTTGGGTGGCTGAACCTAATTTTCAACCACATATGCAATTCAAACAACATGCCTAATATTGAAGAACATGTCCAATCTTTAAGCACATTTACAAAACAGATTTAGAACACTATAAAATCCTCTTAGTAGCAGAATATAAACATAAAAATCCAATAGAAAGCATACCAGAAGCAACCGAGAAATGGGAAAATGGCGATCTTATTCTTACCCATGAAAGTACTCCCACTACTTTTCTTACTTTTCAATTCAGTTTTGTTCACAACTTTAAGTTCATTTGCTACAGTATCCCTACTCCCCTAGTCGTAAAAATAACCTTACAAACAATATTAAGCAGCACTATTTAAGAATCTAAAAACAGGCCAAACTAACTACACAGAGAAGACAGAGACTGAAACATGGAGACATGCAACACAAAACCTATAATTAGATCCCAATCACAAAATGCGAAAACAAAGTTCCTAATCTAACTATCCCTATACTAACAGCCCATCCAAGCAAATACAATTCTAATGGGGTTTAGAACAAATAAACCAATCATATAATTCAAATGGCGTTTGGAACAAATACACCGACAATTCAATTCGAACAGGGTTTGGTACAAATACATTATTATCTCAAGGTTTATATAAATAGAGAGATACAGATACGTGCACAAAATAGAAAGAAGGCTAGTTCCATTCTAAGCTCAAATGACCAAATGGATGCTTAGTTATCTCAGCATTCACATTAATGAACAGATACAGATACGCACACTAAATAGAAAGAAACTCAGTTCCAATATAAGCTCAAATGACAAAAATTGAATTATATATTTAAAATCTAAGCATCAAAGCTTCACAAAAATAAATTAAAAAAGGTAGATACCTAAATAGGCTTTGAACAAAAAATGATGGCGTATAATTATATACCTCAAAACAGCATGGAACCAACTGCTTCCTCAAATGATCCAAATTTATAAAATCTGCAAACAATGTAGATCCGTTAGCAACTTAGAGACTTTCAAATTTAAAGAGCAAATCTAAAGAAATTTTAGCTAAATGACCAAAGACAGACCGAAAAAAAAAATTTACAAATATGATGAATCCAGCACAATCTAATTTGGTTCAACAAAGAATATGGAATCTTAAGGCCTGTGTGAAATGTTGAGTAAACTGCAAGGGGCCTCGCCCAAGGGCAGAATTGAACAGTAATGGCATACAACTCGGAATGTCTTCAACACAATCGGATATAAAGGCAAATTAAATTTGTTTGAGCTTGGCATAAAGAACTGTGTGAATAGAACATCAAAATGAGATTCTGTTCATTGATCCAATTTGGTGCCTAAGGAAGAATTTAAGCATTCAGTTGATTAAATGTGTTAAGTGCTATTTGTTCATGGTGGAAATTCCATATAACAATGCAAAAACCACATTCTGCAATTTAAGCTAAGTAAAGTATAACCCTCAATTAAACCCCAACTACAAACCAGAATTAAACCTTCAGTTAAACTCCAAATTAAACTCTTAATAAAACCCAAGTCAAGTCAGCAATCAGGAAAGATAAAAATTCACCCATTCAAAGTATTGTATAATCGAGAAAGCTATATTTCTAAGAAAGATTAAAACCGTTTTACAAAACACACCTACTGAAAAATCTCACATTTGTAAAGACTGGAAGTTTTTGCATGTTAACCCGTCTTAACCACTAACATTATCTCTTGTAATTACTCAAGCTATTATTCATCTATTTCATTGCTAACCCAAGCCCTAAAGGTGGAACCACCTTAAGTCAATACTTCAAGAGCTAAAAAGCAAGCATCAGTCTTCCTAAATTTTGGTGCTTAAGATATATATTTGGTAATGGACTGATCCTTTTATGAGCATGTTTATTTACTAAACTTCTATCATAATAAATTTGGCATTAAGTTTACTCGTGTCACAACCCTGGTAACTACTGCATTCTATTTTGTTAACCCTTTTCAACTTGATATACACCCTCTCCTTTCCCCACTCTCCCTTATTTATGATTTTCAATCTTGAGTTATGCACCCATCATACCTTCGATGTCTTTGGTTAAGATATTTAAATTTTAATCTTTAAGGTACTTTAGGTACGCACTGGTGCAAAAAGTGAACACCAATCAAATGAAGTAGCCTTAAACATATGAGTTCTTATCAGATAAAATAATCGAAACAGAGAAACGGGCAACTATATTACTCGACAAAGAAATATTGCTCAACCTGTGGACCTATCCCCATATCTGGTGCTGGAACATCGGTGTGTATTCCGATAAGATAGTGTATCTTTTGTGTGAAAACTCTGGTGAGTTGCTCTAGTTTGGAAAGACTCAACTCCCCTGGATTACATCCTATACCCCCTTTGGCACCCCCATATGGGTTGTTGGCTACCTCCGTCTTCCATGTCATCAGCTGTGCCAAAGCATTCACCTCATCTGGATCAACCTACATTTTCCATAAAAGGATCCATAACAATTAAAGACAATTTCATGGCAGCGACTCTTGATATATGACAACCATTCACATTGGTCGTCAAAGTGGAACTTAACAAAGTATGCATATACCTCTGGGTGATATCTGATTCCTCCCTTCATGGGGCCTCTAGCATTGTCATGTTGAACCCTGAAGCCAACAAATGAAGCCAAACTGCCATCGTCTTTTGGTATAGTACACTCAACCTGCACCAAAGTATATAGTTCAAAAGCAACGAAAGGAGAAAACTCAATAACCACATTAGTTTTAGGGTCTAAAAGCTACCTATAATTAAGAGTAAGGGATATACATAAAGGAGACTATTTTCAAAATTATCTTGATTTCCCTAAATGGTGTAAGTAAACTTTTCTCAAGCTTGGAGTCCAATCCCAAAAGCCAAGCAGCAAACTTAAAGTTTCTGTTCGTCGCCACTAATGCATTCATCTTTGCTCCTTCTTCAAGTGCCTGCGTCAGAAGCTAAAACCAGCTACTTATCACCTCCAATCTCAGATTCTGCAAAAGAACAAACCACATGCATGAGGATTTATACAGTTCTTCGCTCTACCTAAGGTGAAATAAAAAATGAAACCAGAGTGCTTTACTTTGTGAGGTTTGATTTGTAGAGGACTGGAGCTAGGTTTGGTTTTGGCTTGAGGCAGTGGGAGAGGAGTCGAAGGGGCAATAATCGGAAATTACAGTTCTAGAAATCAAAATATATTACGGAAAATAACAAATAATTTGTGAAGCAGAGCAGAAGTGGGATTTACCTCAATGCTATGTAGAGGGTTTGGAGGATGTCTTCCCCGTAGTGGTCCGTGTGACCAATTTCATAAGAAGTACTCTGAATCTCGTCAAACTTAGACGGACTTATATCAATCATGTGCAGCAAAGCGAAAATAGTTTGAATTGATAAAAGATCTGTCCGTGTGAAAAAAATGAAATAACACATGGGAAGCATTAGCTTGAAAACGGACAAAAGGGACATATATGTAATATGTATATACCTGTTCCTTAACTTCATCTGATAGGCAAAGTTCATCAGCCAAACCTTCAAAAGCCTGACCGAGTCTATCATGAACCACATGAAATCTAACCATGATTGCCTCGCTTTCAAGTGCCTAAATTACCGAAACAACAAATAAATTAATAATTCACGATTCCGAATTTGAACATCTATTAATTTTCAAAGGGAAAAAGCCTAACCAGATAAGTTTTGCTCCCTGGACAAAACACCCACAACCCCACGTTAAAAAGGAAAAAAAAAAACCCTCCACAAATCAGATACCAGAAATCAGATCCCTTAAAATACGAAGACTTTTGGGAGCGAAACACAACAATATCGAAGAAAAACAAATAAATCAAGAAAAACAGTAAGAATAAGGCACGAATCAGAGAAAGAAGTGGGATTTAATTACCTCTTGAAGGGATCGAAGGGATCACGAAGCAGACATGGAAGAGATCGATGCGGACTGTAGGACGTATGATCGAAGTCGCCAACCCGTTGCAGAGCAGCTGAGAATGTTTTAGGTTTCTAGCGTTTTCGGAAGACCAAGAATACACACACCTATGTTTTCTGCTCTGTATCTCTCTCGCTGTCCATCTCTCTCTAAAATGGGAGAAAATCCCATAGATCCTGTCAGAGCAACTACCTAAATATCTCTCTCACTCAGTCCAAACCCTTAGCTCCCATCTCTCTCCAATCTGTCAGGCCCTGTGTCTCCCTCCTCTGTAGTTGCTCTGTCCCCCTCTCTCCGCTCGCCACAGGCACACCCAGCTGTCTCTGGGTAAAAAATGGGAGCGATCGTCTCTCTCCAATTTGTCAGCCGTGATGTCCCCCTCCTATCTCTCGCCGAGTCAAAAGCTGAAGTGCAGCGAACGGCTGAAAATTGGTCCTTAAGCCTGAGTTGCAATTTTGTAAATTAAGAGAAGCTGGTTAACGCATATGAGTGGCAATCCTGTAAATAAACTGAAATGTGGTCCAAAACACTGTTCATTTCTACAGTGCAATTTTGCCAGCTTCTTTAGACTAAAGTAATTGAGACCAAGTCATGTATGTGTGTTGCCGTTATTGAGGGAAATTTTTTTCGGTGTACTAGTAAACTGGTTTGTTACATCAAATGTCATAATACAAGTGATTGAATTTTTTTTTCAAGTATCAAATTACTTCTGTTACAAAACTTAATGTATTTCTGACACATTAAGAAATCTTTTGTTGTTGGAAACATAACATGTGAGTTGGGACCATGTTTAGATGCCGCGTATTAATGTCAGTAATGCAAGACAGACGACATTTAATTTTGTTTATGATCCTTGTCCATTTAAGTTAATGAAAAGGACAGAACCACAGCAGAAGAATATTTTGGCTGTGACCGCCTCACAGCAAAGCTGAGCAGGCAACGTGCCTGCCTGTCTTAGTGGGATTGTGACTTTTTTGTCACACGTCCCTTTTGGTTTGTGAAATGTTGACCCCTGTGACAGAAAAACATCAAGAGAAATTAAAATTCCTTGTTTATCTTAACTTAATTTAATGTTACGATTGTTTGATCTTTACATCTAAAGAAATTTTTTGGTGTGATCTTGGCACTGTCACGTGGTTATACCGTAAAATTAATTTTGTCTTATTTTATAGCACATGAATCAAGTTTTCATCTAAGTCCAAGTTTTTATCAGTATATTAAGAGAAACTGTTTGAGGTACTAAAGAATTTGTGAGAGAATGTAAGGTGTAGGTAAACGAATTGGTTGACGGTATATGCTAGTGTTTGATGTTCTGCATCGAGAAGTTATTCGATGTGATTGTAAGATATGTGTTTCATTCATTATTACTAACTTCGCCTCTAACTATATTATAACACATAAATCAGTAACATGTGACTATAATTTCATTTTAAGTTTTTAACCTTGACGAGTTGTCGGGAACGGTGTAAGGAGGGTCCGCACGAGTTTGTGAGAGGAGGTTATACAACCTGGACCTACTTTGAGGAAAAAGACGATTTAAGACAGAAAGGATAACATGGTTTCCAACTGCTTTGCAGCTTCATTGGTGTTGCATAGCAGAAACATGAAAATTTGGCTGAAAAAAATGAAACATAGGAAGTTTGAAATTGCTTTCTGATGTAAAAAGGATCTTAGATTTTCAATCTCGAAAGATGTTCAGACGATTGGTCGTATTTACAATCCCAAAAAAAATTACATTAAAAAAAAAAAAAAAAAAAAATCACGCCAAGCGTATCCGGCAACCCACGACATGTAAAGGGAGGTAGTGAACAATCTTGCAAAATACATAGAAACCACTATTTTTCACACGTTTCAATCGACTCTACAACGGAAACTATCTTCTTCTGCAACTCTGGCTTGTTGGCACCCACCAGCTTGTCGATTTGCTGCCCATCCCGAAGGAAGAAGAAAGTAGGAGTGGCTTTGATGTCCCATGAAGTGCTGAAGTCCTGCACCATACAAAACCAAAGCATCAATCGACTGGAAACCTCACAAATTGTTTCGCGTGATTATAATTTTATGGCGGAATCCCGGGTACATTCATGAGTAATTTGATTACCAGGCCAGAGTTGCAGAAGCAAGGTAAAAGTTCCTGTCCTCTAACTTGCATGCAATAGCACTAATACAATTACTGATTACATTAACCATTACACATTGCCCATTACGACTTACAGTCAATTCATCAACATCGACCACAAGGAACATTAGAGAAGTGTATTGCTCAGATAACTCGCGGTATAGTGGTGCAATTATTTTGCAAGGGCCGCACCATGTTGCACTGAAGTTTGCAATCACCTGTTGGACATAACAATTTCAATTAGATAAAGAGCTAGAAAGAAAGCTAAAAAAATCATTGAAACTAAACTTGCCTACTGCATATAAACTAATATGGATGCAAACCAGATTCAAAAGACGATGAACGTGAAGACAACATCCAACGTAACCTGAATTCCGAGCAATATGTAACCATATAATGCATAACAATGGGCTCGTTTGGAAATGCCTTTTTAATGACTAAAAGCGCTTTTGGGGAAAATGTTTTTGGGTTCGAAAAGCACTTGCCGTTTTCCAGGATTCACTTGGATTTTCACTAAGGATTGGTCCCAAAAACATTTTCAACAAAAGTGCTTTAAAAGCACATCCAAATGAGCTCAATATCATTGACCTACGATGAATGTCTACTTGGAGACAAGCTGTGGAGAGAACTTGTCCACTGACGCATTTATATCGACACTCTTAATAAATGATCAACTACTACTAGAGACAAGATCAACTACTACTAGAGACAAGACTACAGCACTATTTTAGAAGTAAATCAGCCAAATTTTTTAAATACAATGTTAAATGGAATCAGATACCTCACAAACTAGGAGTACATAGTCTCATACACAAAGCAATTTTCTAAAGTTTTTTAGAGGCTGCTATAGAGGAACCGGGATTCCAGCACCCCCGATTGTACTCCCCCGGTCAAATTAAGATGAAACAAGTTCCTGTATACTGGCATCTTTTCATCAGAGAATGACGCCAATAGTTGAGATGGTTTTCTAAATAAAACTTTAAAGCAAATGGTCTCTTATTATAAATTGGAAGGCTGGAACTAGTCTTTTGCTATTTCGCTCGTGGTGTCATTTAAATTCTTTGCTATCTTTTCTTGGTCGACAAAATTTGACAGTAGATTAAAGAATCTATAGAGATTTTATAAGAATACTGTTCTTCCCTATTTTATTTCTTTGACACGTGCAACTTTGTGTAGGATCCCACCCAAGATCATGGGATTTGTATCTTGTTTCGTCACTAAGCCCAAAAGTCTTAACGATTACCAGATTTTAAATGTTACTTGTTACCAATAGCAACATACTGAATTAGGTTCAGCCGAAATACATCAAAAATTTGACAACTTAGTAATATCTATTCAACACAAATGAGAAGAAAAAGAGTGTTTAAACATACAACTTTGCCATCCTTTTTTGCTTCTTCCATCTTTTGATCCCAAGCTTCGGTAGTGGTGATGAGGTGCACATTCGCACCAGTAAACTCAATTTTATCTTCATAATCGTCTTCTTCAGTTTTACCCTACAAGTGTCATGAAAGTTATAACTTGGCAGATTACAAGAAAAGAAAAAAAAAGCAAGCCAAATACATGCAAGTGGACTACAAGAAATTTGAATGTTATCAACAAAACACTCAACTATTGAGAAGATCAATCATGCAGTGATAAATTTCTTCTTGGCAGGCTGCGGACATTAAATATTATACGCTAAACGTAGAGGGAAGAATATAGACTTCTACCGCATGTATCACAGACATAGAAATTGAGCTATTGCACACTGCTTATCAATCAACTAAATAAGATTGAACGGGCGATATGGACTTGTCCTAATCTGGCTAGGAAGATATTCTATTACTGCATTCAATACTACAGACAGGCCAAATCTCAAGACATTCTTAAGAAAAAAGATAAATAAAAAGACAAAAGATAGAAAGAAAAACTAACCTTGCTTGCGCAAGATCCCATCTTGATGTCCAACACCAAACTAGTTACAGAGCACACCTGAAAAGCCTAAACACCACCAATTTAATTAGGACCAGTGCAAAATGAATGCCACAATCTTCGGTGGCAAAGAAGAACGTCGAAAGATAACATATGACAGATAAATTGTTGTAAATAATCAATTTCATTACCACAAAGGGTGTAGTTTTCCATTAATTCAATTAGCCCAAGAGCATCGACAAAAACATTTTTGACAAGCATTATCCAAGTCATTAGGCTCAGGTAAACAACTCCACCGCACTGAATCACAGTTGAAATATCAATAGCTAGAGCAAGTATCAAAATTTAAATACCTAAAAAAGAAAATTAAAAAAACCAAAATCGGAACATTTATCAATATAAATTCATACCCAGAATCCAATATTCTGAAATTCAAAGGGAAAACACAAATTAAAAACAAAACTTGCAACATATAAAAGAAAAAATAATCAATTTCACCGCTAATAAACATCTTATTATGCATTGGCTTGCAAGAATTAATACCTTTCTAAATTGAGAAATGCGAATAATAATTTGATATTTATATATACACACACATACATGTATATGAATATGACAATATGCTCAGAAATTACCTTCAGAATATGATCGAATTGCTGAAAATTGTGATACGAACCGAGTCGCATGTAATTTGAGAGAGAGAGGGAGAGAGCAAAACGTCTGCGTTTTCCGGTTGGGGAAAAACCAAAACCCGCGTCGTTGTTGCAGGGAGAAATATGGTACGAATTATCCTAGAAGGAGAAGGAGAAGAAGAAAAAGAAGAAGAAGAAGAAGAAGAAGAGGGTAACAGTAAACAGAGGGGCGTCGTGTTTTTCAACTTTTCCGTCGTCGTTAACTTGGTAAGTTAATTTGTTAATTCCGTTTTTCCAGAAATCGAAAACCATTTACTCGTTTGAATTATTTATTTGTTTTTAAATTATTTAATTCCGTTCTCATCATTTTTGGGATCTCTATTTTTTGATAAAAATACGGATGAGATTTGGATGGCCTTCACACTTCGAGTTCAATGATTCCGATCATCTATTTTTTAAGTCTTTATTCATAGATAATTTTTGCAAGAAATCGAAAACCATTTACTAGTTTGATTGTCGTGATGAAAATTTTACAATTTTTTTAAATATAGTGTTCGTCAGTTTCTTTGAACTTAATTAGACGTCTCAAACATTTTCAATTCGGCTGATATTTTACAAGGACGGTCTATAAAGTGTGATTTGAAAAATAGACAGTTCGCGTCGTTAAAATTCGATGAGGTGTTTAGGTAAAGGGCGTGTAATAAATATAATCTATGTTTGATAAAATAAATTTATTAATTAACAGGATATATATATATATTATTTATCATATTAATTGATACACTAGTGTGATATAAAAATATAATTTTTATTATATTTTGCAACTTTTTGTCCTATTTATCCGTATTGATTCAATTCGTCACTTTTTTATATTTAAGTGCTTGTAATTTGTAAGAATGATAAAATTATTATAAAAAATTTGATACAACCCCAACTTTATGACATCTTTTATTATTTCATTTTTTATAATAATCTATGTTTGATGAAACGAATTTATTAATTAACACTAGCATATGGACATACACAAAGTGTGTGAGAAAATTTTTTATTTTTGTTTTTGAAATAGAAGGAGAGAAGAAGAGAGTGATTTGAACGTGGGAGTGGGAAGGTTTTTTTTTTTTTTTTTTTTTTTTTTTTTAATTTTAATTTTTTTAATTAGAGATATATTAGGACTACATATAGGTGACCGAAATCAGGGCATGTTGGCCGTCATGTGAGGGTGACGTAACCATATGCACAGTGCGGAAACGATAAAGATATAAGAAATACGAGTGAATAAAAACCAAACTACTAGCAGTACTAGCTAGGATAACATGCTAATGCGAGATTAAGTGTGAAATACACGATCGGAGCATAAATAGCCTAAGTACAGTCCGACTAGACAAGTACTAATTAAACAACACCCAAAGGTAATCCTACATTTGTGTTGTTCTGTCAGAACCACCGTCAAGATCCTCGTGAGCCACCAAAACACTTCTACCTTAAACCTGGAGGGGCGCAAAACAGAAAGTGTGAGTGGGCAAAAACAAAGCTTTTCAAAACCATTTCAATTATCAAAGCTAGTAACCCCTCACTATAAAACATGTATAATTTCCCAGAAAATAGAATATATTTGTATCTCAAAACCATGCCCAACAAGCTTTAATCATGAATATGCCATGCCAAATATCTCAATATGAAATATGTAATCCAGGTGATATAAATCAATGCAAATGATATATCAGCCGGAGTCACCTACCGTGACTTGTACGGCTAAATTTAGCGCTCAAATCCACATCTCAGCAACGATACATATATTTATATATATATATATATATATATCTCATCAACAATATGCATGCACACTAGTCGGAACCACCTAAAGTGGTCTGTATGACAAGCTAGGTGTAAATAAATACGCTCTAGTGCTACAATCACGTGAAGGCTGTGCGAAGTATCGCAAGTCACCTACAAGTCGGAACCACCTAAAGTGGTCTGTACGACAGGCTAGCACCTGCCTTGGATCCAAGTTGAGCGTGTGTGGTGCGAGAGGTGAACGATCAACTCTGGCGGAGCACTAACACCGGGATGCAGGTTAATGAGCTCTCTAAACATCTCACATAATCCTCAATTTACATAAACATTCGATAACTCACCTAATACTTATTTGAGCGTCCACAGCGTCAACCATAAATATATGCAACTATTAATGCATGTATAAAACATATGAATACTTAGCATGGTACTTCAAAACATACTTTCATTTAAAATGAATTTCTGGGAAAAAAATCAAGTATATAGATATATACTGAAAACTAAAAGCCCACTCACTAATATGTGGAAGGGTCGTAGCCCCTGAGCCTCGAGTGATTGCGCTCGTCCTCAGGATGGGTCTTACCTATATGCGAAACAACTATATAAACGTTAATTTAAAGCACATAAACAAAACTAGCTAATAACTTCTCATACATTGCTCAAATGGGGTGTTTGAATATACCAACATGAACTACTCAACACCATGAACATCCCCATATTTTTTTAAAAATTTCCGACCACCCACGTGCCGCCACGCACCGTCCACGCGAAGGCACGTGCCCGGCACACGTACGGAAACCCTAACGGCGTTAGGGAATATTCTGTCCAAAAATTGAATATACCGTTATATATACCTGACGCCGTTAGTATATTCCGTCAAAGTTGACGGAATATTCTTCATCTTCTCCGGTGAGTCTCGCCGGTCGCTGCCGTCCGCATCGCCGTTTGCAACTTGAATTTTCGCCGATTTCTGGAAAAACTTCATATCTTCTTCAATTCTTAACCAAATTCCATGAAATTTGTACCAAAATGAAGCTTACAACAAGTAGAACAAAACCTTACCTTTTGAAACTTAAATCCAACGGAATCTCACCGGAAAAACCCACGATAATCCGGCCAAACTTGAAACTCACCAAACTCAACTTCCCAACGTCCAAAACACTTCGTTTTTCTTCTCCGAGCTTCGTGAAGACATTCTAAAGCTCTCTAGAAGCTTAAAACTTTGCAATCACGATTGCATGAACAGTGCACCAATTCGAGATTCTTGGTTTCTCGGGAAAACGAAGGTCTCACGTCCAACCAAAGGTATCAATGGGTTCCTAAGCTTGCAAGGAACTCAAAAACACCAACAATGATCTCGATCCATGCCTGAAATGGTTGATTTTGGGTGATGTCTATACGACTTGTACGGAAATGCAGAAAAATCCGAGAGGAATGAGAGATTTAAGGGTTAATGGGGTTGTTTGGGTGTGTGTGTGTGTGTGTGTGTGTGTGTCTAGATGGTAGCCACCAACCAAAAAAAAATCACCCATGACACTAATTAAAGTCCAAAGGCAAAATCGTCATTCCACACCATCGATACAAATATTTCGGGACGGGTTGTCACACTAGTGTGTGTGATATAAAAATGTAATTTTTATTATATTTTGCTACTATTTGTCCTATTTATTTGTATGATTCAACTCGCATTTTATTTTTATCTTGAGCGCTTGTAATTTGTAAGAATGATAAAATTATTATAAAAAATTTGATACAAACCTAACCTTATGACATCTTTTATTATTATTATTATTATGCCTTCATTAGTTGCATAATTCGTTCTCTTAATTACCCTCAATTCCCTCCATCAACTTGATTAATTCCATTAATTTATTTTTCATATAAAAAAACATGGTTAATTCCCAAATTAATAAAAAAAAAAGTTAAATTTTGTAGGTCAACTTCATCAAACCTCCATCTGCAGGTTGATCATATGCTAACCACTTTTAGTGTATTTTTTAGAGAAATACCTCAAAATAAGACAATTTCTTAATATAGGGACAAAAATAGGACAAACCAGCTGCACACACCATACACAAACTGAAATTACTAAATTACCTACATATAAATAAGTTATTTCCTTCAATTTTCATATTTCTCTCACTCTCTCCCCTCTCACTTTCTCCCTCACGCACTCTCTCTCCTTCTCATTATGCACACATGGTGCACTGTCATCCCAACCAACACCGTCCAAATCGAAGCCGCCACCAATTTCATTTTGTCCTCATGAATCCAAAATTCCTAGCCTTGTCACGAATCTCATCCCCAATTGTAGGGATCGAAACTCAAGCAGGCCGTGAGTTTTCCGACCATTTTTCGGCAACATTGCAAACAACCAATGCTAGAGACCACCACCGTTGGACTCGCATCGAGGGTGGGAACAAAGTCCAGTCATTAAATGCTGGTGTTTTGTTGGATGAATTTTTCAGGATTTGCTCACTGTATGTATACGACATGCACATGATCTGCTCATAGATCCGAGCCAACCTAAAAATTCAAAGCTCACATCTCTCTTTTCGAAATCAGAAAAATGACGTAATCACATGTGATGTCACCACCACATAACTATATGCACAGTATATGTAGAATACATGCACATGATATGCACAGAACTGGAGATCGAGCAATGAGCTACTTTTCGCATTAATAAGAAACTTTAATGGCAACCTATTGGTTTAGTAGATACAATTAAAACATAATTGTTACGTAATAAGGTTATAGTGGCATTTTGAAAAGTCTTATTACGTACATCAATCACCGATTAAACGTGCACATGTAAAACATGATACTCGTTGTTATTTCATGGACACACATGATTCTTAACGTTCTCTAAGCTTTTTCTTATTACTTTTTTTTTTTTTTGTCAAGGCTAACTAGGTTGTGGTCATACTCGCTGATTTTCGGGGCACAACATACGTGTATCATAACTAGTGAATATTCTGGCTTCTCATATTAAGATGTAGCCATGCACACCATATGCACATTACGGAAAAAAATTCACAAATTTATGCAATTTCACAAATTTTTGAGTTGAGCTCAGATCTATGAGCATAACATGTGCATGTCGTGTACATACAGTGTATAAGCGAACTTAATACGAAGAGAGCGAATGAGTACACGAAACAATTTCGTCCATATCCTTCTCTTTTCCTTCTTTCCACTTTGATTTCTCTCTTTTCTCTCTAATTTATCTCTTCTCCAAAAGGCAACTGACCTTTAATATGCTTTTTATTTAATTACTGCAAAAGCCAAACCCTATTTTAGTGCTTGTAAATGTGGATCGAGAGAGGGAGCAGAGGGAAGGAGAAGACATAAGAAATGAAAGCCCACATTTAAATCAGAGAAATGATAAAAAAAAAAAAAAAAAAATTGAAGGATTTGGGTCTCCTCCAAGAAACACCAAACCAATCACTTCAACTCTAAAAATCCATCAATCAAAAAGAAAAATTAAGCAAACCCAGTTCACAAAACCTAGAAAT